GAGTACATACTGTGAAGAACCCAGAGAGGGTTGTTTGATTGTGCTTTCTGGAAAACAATAAATTTTTACATTTAGGCACTCCTGCAATAGTCACATTTTTTCTGTTACAAACTGACTCCGGCCCCCCACCAGAGAAGGGAAAAGTTATGTGGCCCTTACAGGAAAAAGTCTGGGGACCCCTGGTTTAGGGAGAAACTCAACATGTACGACTTTTAATAAATATTATTTAAAGACAACTCACGCATAAAATGTCTGATATGTCAGTTCAGCAGGAGTCTCTGTGTCCGCAGCAACAGCCTCAATTTCTCTCGGTCTGCGACAAATTTCTCCTGGATATTTCTCTCTCAGCAACCCCAGAGTCTCCCAGTCACCTCTTCTAGAGCCACGGTCTCCAWTGAACCATCTGGTTTTACACAGTCGATTGATGACAACTGGTTCTGGCTCTGAAGAGCCAAAATAACAGAAAAAAAGTCAAAGACATCATATTGTTATACCATTGTTATATTATTTATTCAAACATAAAGCAATCAGTTCCCAAACTCTGCATTCTACATTAATGCACTGAAGCATATTTGCATTTATAACGTTTGGGAGTATGAACATTCTGACAATAAATAAACCTAAACCAGCAGGTGATGCTTATTGAAAAGTCTTACGTTGATGACTTTGTTCTACGTAACCTGCAGAAAGAATCAGAATAAAGCTAATTAGTGACATTAGTTGGTGCAAATATATTGTAAATGTTTCAAAACCTAAACGTGTCAAAAGTGACATGTTACTTAYCGAGCAGCAAAACTGCAGCAAAAATGAAACTTAACTATAAAAAATTAAAATAAAATCCAAAATAATTAAAATTCAACAGGTAAAGAATAGTTTCATTTCCAAATTCTTATTTGTGTTTTCATTTTGAACTTAACATCACAACTAAAATCTTACCTGTTTGATCATTGTACAAATCAGTTGTTTGTTCTAAACAGCTGTAAAGAAAAACATGAAACTTGAGTATTTTATTTCTTTGTAGTAACAATAACATTACTTCCATCTCAGTTTATTTCAGTTTCTTTAAGAAAGATGAAAAAGCAGAGTGTTACCTGGGAAAACCAGAGGAGACTCAGCCAGAGAACCTCTCAGTCCACTCAGTCGGTTCTTTTCTTCTGTCTTTTTATAGGAGCAAGTAGCCTGGGCACAAACTGGAATTTTTCAAAACAATAAACTGGATTTTGCAGTCTTCTTAGGACATTTTACAACTTGTTTAGTTGCATGTTGTACAGATAGAAGGCAAAAGGAGCAGATAAAACCAGCACTATCCAGTCCAGAACTCAAACTTTGTGTTCTAAAAATGCGGTGCCCTTTGTTTTATCATCATTTCCACACCAGAGATGACTTTTTATCTTGTGAAAGTCAGCAGGAAGGATAAAAGGAAATAAATGGAATAATAGTTGGTTGGGTGCAGCTTGAAAACACAGATGGTGATGGTTTGCTTTGGAAGGCTTTAATTTTCTAATGGTTCTCATGGTCTATTACTTGATTCACATTTTAATACTTTGCTTCCAATGTACTAACACAATGATGTGTAAAAAATGTAACACACCATAAGTAAAACAAGATTTTTAAAAAAATCACACAATATGAT